CCGGCTTGGTGGGAAGGGACCTCCAAAGCTGTCTGGCTTCAGGCACGCCCGTGCCGGTGTCTCCTGAGGAGGAAGCCACCACGGATGTGCTGTGCGAAAGGAAACAGCCCGGGCTCCAGCCAGGCCACCTCCTGCCAGGGGCCCGCGGGCTGTGGCTGTCTGCCCTGCTGCCATTCCAGTGACCTGGGAGCCACCTGCATCAGCGGAGCCATCGTGGGCTACGTGCCATACCCCGCAGGGCGAGGGCGAGGGCGAGGGCGAGGGCGAGGCGGGTGTGGGCTGCAGCTGCTCAGCCCACCGAGGGCCCGCACGAGTCCTTCTCAGGCCGGGCCCTGCCTGCTCCGGGACCCCGACTCTGGTCCCGTGATTCTCGGGGCTGGCCTCTGTGAGCCTGGCACTCAGGTGCCCTTTCTCTGCCCAGCCCCAACTCCCACAGTGAGGTCCCTGCCGGACACCCACTTGCGGTGAGAAGATGCCGAGTCGAGTGAGCTTCATGCTCCTCTGCTCCTCAGAGCCATGGCCGGGAGCCCCATGGGCTGTGAGCAGCGGGCCGGGCTCCGTCCTCCCTCCACCCTGGGCACCAGCGCTGGGAGCCCCGGCCTCAGGTGGGCGGCGGCTGCCGACCGGTTCGCTGCCCTGGGCTCTCCCACCAAAGTGCTCAGGGCCACCTGTGCAGGCCTCCTGGGAGCTGCCCCCGCTAGGGCCCATCCAAGGCTTCAAACTCTTCCGCCCACTTCGAGGGGCCCCTGCTCCTGGCCAGCAGTGTCAGCTCTCTCCTCTGCACATACCTGGGTGAGGCCTTGAACCTTCTTTTCCCCCTTCCTTCCTGTCTCCCTCCTTCCTTCCTTTTTTCCTCCTTCCCTTCCAGTTCGTGCCACTGTACCTGGAGTTCCTGAGCCCTCTCCGGGTGAGAACTCCCTGAGCCTCCTGCCCCAGACAGGCTGGCTCCCTCTACCTTCCCCTGCAGGGCCAGCTCTAGGCCTTCAGCAGCAGTGGGGATGGAAACAGCACTGGCCAGCTTTGTCCCTGCCCCGGTTTCCGAGCGGCCGGCTCGGCCCTGCCACAGCTCTTCTGCGCAGGCACAGGGGCAGCCGCGCGCAGCCCCGAACTCCAGTCCTCGAGGAAAAGGTATCTGTTCCGGCGGGACCTGTTCTAAGTGCTTTGCTGCAAATCAAAAACCAAAGTGGAAAAGGGATAAAAATGCTAGGATCTGGTTAATGTTCTGGGTGGAAAGGGAAGCCTGGATGAGAGGAGACGCAGGGTGGGGCAGAGAAGTGCCCTCCCGGGAGACCAGGGCGCTGCCGGGCCCGCCACCCTCTGCTCCCAGGCCTGGGGTTCACGCCGCGGAGGGGCCAGCGAGCCACGCAGCCGCCCGCTTCCCTCACCTGTGCCCGCCCGCAGTGCCACAACCAACGCACGAGACACAGCGAAGTTTAGAAACCATTCCTTTCTTTATTAAACATAGCTTGCAAGTGATAAATATTACAAAGTTTTTTCTTTTAATCCTTTCTCCAAAAATTAGCTTATTATTAGAATCTCACTGCTGAAATGCTCAGCAGCATCTGAAACAGATGGGAGTGTATTTGCCTTTTTGAAAACCAGTTTCTATTGGTCTTAGTTTTTTCATTTTATTTCCCAAACACAATGCAGAAAATTAGAATGAGTTAAAAAAGAAAGAAAAAAAAAGGCAAAGAAAAAGGAAACTTAGAGTTGTGCAAAAGGGTCTTGGCCCCCGCTGAGGGAAGGCCGCGCCCACCCGCCCCTGCGCCCCTGCGCCCGCCTATCCTTCCTCTCTCCGAGGCTCCACCCGCACGCACCCCGAGTGGGAGTCAGCCCGGTGGAAGCTGCCCCCGAAGGAGGCAGGCTGTGAAACAGCGGTCTTGGGGGTTCGGACAAGATCTGGGGAGGAGACGTGGGCGTCTGAGCTCTCCGATTCTGTCACCAAGACGACAGGAAGTTCCACATCCTGTAGCTCGCAAAGGAGCAAGCAGACCACCGACCTTCGTGGGTCGACCTCACTCGGAGGCTCTGCGAATGGTGGGGCGGCCTGGGCCTGCCCGAGGAGGGCACTGTCGGGTGCCGCTTCGCACTGGTTCTCTCCTCCCGACTTCTCAACCCCACACCCCCTGCACCTCAAGCCGTACTGTTTTCAGGTGGGGAAGAAAGCCTATAATTGTAAACTAAATGGCCAGATGACTTCCTCTCTCACTTCACACATTAGAAAAAAACTCCGACCCAGAAAATCAACTCTACCGAAAACAAGAGCACAGTACGCTGGGAGGCCTCGGGTCTCCATCGGCCAGCCTCCCGCGGCGGGCAGAGCTGGCGCCTTGAGCACGTGGCGAGGCCCTGCCACCTCCGACAGTGCACCTCGACGCCCACAAGCCTAGATTTGCTCTTCTGGGGGGGATCCCTTGCATAAGAAAGCTTGACACTGAATTTTGTTATATAGGTATATTGTATATATGCGGATGCAATCAGAGGGGAAAAACAGTGCAAATACAATTACAATTCATAGTAATACTTGGTTTCGATGCCCCGGGAACTGCCCGCTCCTTGCCACCTCCCAGCCCCAGCACTTCCCCAGTGCCAACTAATGCTGGGGCGGGGGCCGGCCAGGGTGGGGAGTGGGCTCTGCCAAGGCAGTGCTGGTGACCGGAGGGGCTCCTCCAGGGTGGGGAGGCAAGGCACAGATCGGGCGGGGGGTGGGGCGGCGGCATCTCTAGAGGGTGGGTTGGAGCAGCTGCCAGTCTGTGCTGGGCCCGGCCCACTCCCGACCCACCCCCGCAGCCCTGCCTCCCTACCCCGCCCCTTCCCCAGAACCCTTTTGCACGGATCATACACAAACGGGCACATTACAAAATGACATAACACAGTTTCACAATATCCATGGCTAGGGCTTTTTTTTTCTTTTTCATTTTTTTTTCTACACAATGTACAATTCCTTTTAAATGGATCAAGAAATAGCTTATATACACGAATGAGTCCTTGTTATAACATCTCGGCAGCAAGTATCATAAGCTAATGAAGACCTTGATGGGGGGCGGTGTGGAGGAGGGTTCTGCCTTCCGGGGCGACGAGAGAAAGGGAACGGAACGGCTGGGGAAAGGAACCAAAGTAAAACACCAAGAAGCATCTTTACAAAGCAGTTCTGCAGCTGATTCCTTTCAAAGGGGAAAGGAAAGGTAACCAAAGCAGGAAAACATTTATCTGTCTCAAAGAAAAGTCTACCATACATATATCCAAGAAAATGTGGGAAAAATACTTATACCAGCAAGAGTCCAGATGCTGTGGTTAAGTGACAAAACTGACAAATAAGGACCTCTGCCCCCCCGTTTTACCCAAGCCTCACCACCACTCTGCCCACTTCAGGTCTCCGGGGACCGAGACACCACCGTGAAGAACTGCTGATGCCTGGGGTCGGGAGGCAGCGGGCAGAACGGACGGGACCCTCACTCTCAGCAGCCCAGCAATCCAACGGGCTCTTCCCCCTACCTCAGGGCACGAGGCTCAAGGCCTGGAGAGGACAGTGCCAACAGACCCGGGGGACAACGCGGAAGGATGCACGGCGGGAGGGACGGAGGCGGCGGGAGGCTGACACTGCAGCATGATTAAGGAGCCCTCACCCCAGCAAGGGTCCCGGGGTAAGGTATTATGAAGACGGAGTAAGAAATCAAACCTCAGCGACTGCGCAAAGGGTCACAGAGCTGTGCCAGTCAATCAGCAGCCTCTAAGGACCGACCCTCGGAGGCGAGGAGGGAAGGCTCCGCCCTCTCTCGGTGGAGCAGGCCCCAGGCCCGCGTGCTCTCCTCCCCGCAACCCCCATCTCTGCCAGTCTGACCTCCAAGTCCCACTCAAGGCTGCCTGGCTCCCCGGCGGGACTCAGCTCGGGCAGGGGCAGCCCCAGCTAGACGGTATTGCACATTCTCTGTTGCTAACTTTTAATCTCAACTGACAAACCTGGGCACCTTGTACCTCTGAGCACCTCTGAGCTGGGGTCAGGGAGACCTAACAGAAATGGCACTTTATCACGGGGAGGGGAGGCTACACAGACATGCCACGGGCTAGATGATTTGTAGGAAAAACATTTTTTAAAAGCTTCCAATTTTGTGGAAGAGAGAAAAGCAAAACCAAACGGTTCATCCAGTGCTTTCAAAGCACAGAGGGCAAAGAAAAGATGTAAGAATATATCTTTATATATATATATATAACTTTAAAATAACCCCAGACCCAGCTCCACCGACCGACCCCCCCCCCCCCAGTCAGGGCACCACACTCCCCAGAACGATACTACCTGTTGCCGCGTCTAGCTTCCAGATCCTCTCACCTCTTGGGGAGCCCAGACGCTGGCCGCGACTCCGCTCCTTTATTAAGTGCTCAATGAACTTGGGGGAAGGGGGGAAGCAGGCAAGCCAGGAAGGCCCGTAGGGCCAGTATAATCACCCACAGTGGGACTGTGGTGGGGAGCGGGGCCGGAGGGGCTAAGCCTAATTTCAGCTCCTTCTCCCACCCTACCCCCACATCTATGAGGAAGATGTGCAGTTTGTGTGTGTTAATTTTAAAAGTGCCTTTTTACCTTAAAAAAATTATTTAATTTTTAAAAAATAAAAATGAGGGAACTTCCTCAGGTGGCTTTCAAGGGCAAAATATTAAACAATTCTTCAAACCTCTGCTAAGAGCAACCCCAGTGCGCTCGGCAGCCTGCAGAGCGGGAGGCAGCAGGTGCTCTGGAGAACAGACGCCCACCCCCCCACCCGCCCCCCGGGCTCCCCGACCTCAGAAGCAGCCCGGCCACCCTCTCCCCAGTGTGGGCAGTCGGGATGCTACTCTCCCAGTCCCAGGACAGCAACATTGCACAAGTCATTCTCTACATTAGTAGCACTTAAGAAAAAAATAAAAAGAAAAGAAAACAAGCATCGAAATTAACAGAACTTGGGGGCGGGGAAAGACAACATTTGTGTAGCAGAGGTCCAAAGCCGGCAAAACATGGGCTGTCTGGCCTCAGGCCCGCAGTTAGAGCAAGACTGCACCCGACTCTCTGGGAGGGGAAGGGACAGACAGATGTGAGAACTGCAGCTGCTGAGAGAAACCTCTTCTTCCCCACTGCCTCCTCTGGTCACTGGACTCACTCATGCCCATTCCAGCTTCTAGAAGCCAGCACACTCAGCCTGTCACCGATGGGGCTGTGGTTAAAGGGGAACACTGGGATTTTAAAAAGGGGAGAGTGGGGTGGGGACGATTCTGTCAAGAACACAAAATGAAAAGAATTTGGGCTCGCGGGCCTGGAACAGACTCATGCCCCGACGAGATCGGGCCGGTCTTCATGCTCCATGCAGAAGGCTGGGGCCTCAGTCCACCTCGGCTCAGGGCCATGCTCCCATCACACCTCTTCCTGTCCCTCTGAACTCCGGGTGGTTGTATAAAGCTTCTTCCTCCAGGCTCTTCCCCCTCGCTCTTAGAGCCTGGCTGTAACACTAGAACACAGCTTCCCAAGTGTCCAGCCCAAACACCCACGGCTGGGGTGCTGCTGCTCCAGGGATACCACCCACTGGCAGCCTGGTTAAGTGCATTCCACACCTCTGCCCCACACTCCCAGGCGCGTCCTGCTTGGCAGCTGAGACCCCACTGCAATCTGCAATGCTCTCATCGTTGAACCGAACGTCATTTACATTTAAGGAAAAAAAAGGAAGAAAAAAGAAAAAGACTGGGGGAAAAGACTTAACTGTCCATTGAACAAAGGACATACGATATAATTAAAAAGGGTAATACTAACAGCATAAAACAAACTTTAGAAACACATGTCAAAGGGTTTAGATTCTCCCAGGACCTCATCCTCACCTCGATCAGAGGCAAAGATCCATTTCACTGTTAAAGAAAACCGGAGAGAGAAGATAAAGCGGCAGGAGAACAGATCGCAGCAGTGTGAAATAAAGGGGAGGTGGTGGGGCAGGGCGTTGTGTTTTCTCGCTGATTTCTAGTTTTGTCTTCTGTTTTCAGTTTTGCTTTCCGTGTATGGTAGGCACCAGTACAGGCACTGCATGCGACGGAAGTTGGGGCGATAGGAGAGAAAAAGGACAAAGGATTCGAGGTTGGGGCAGTGCAAGTGGACCAGGCGCTATTTCTGTCCACTGATGGACTGCGATATGGACCGGGGAGGGATCATGTCTAAAAGGTATTCGCGCTGTCGGTCTGCCAAACTGGGGGCTTTGTGTCCTCCAATGCCAGTGTTCAAGTATGCAATGTTGACACCTAGACCAAGGAGACAAAGTGGAGGGAGTATTAAAAGAGGAAACAGGGCCGGGGCTTTAGCTCAGTGGTTTCGCAGCCTGCCCCGCAAACGCAAGGACCCGAGTTTCATCCCCAGTACCAAAAAAAAAAAGAGGATATTACTTTACCTTTTCTGTACTACCCTGGGGCCGCACAGTTAGAGACGGGGTGGAAGCAGGAGATGTTACCTGTACCTGTGCAGACTTAGCTAGCTGTTTCAGCAGCTACTGCCTTCCTACTCCCAAACTTTAGGGAAAGAGGTCTTCCTGAAATTTCAGCCCTAACAGGAATGATGAATACAGAGAGAGAAATGTGGCAAAGACAAAGGGATGTAGTCATCAGATGTGTTCTGGTCTGGGGCCACAGACTGAAGAAGCGTCCCTGCATGGTTCAAACGGGACAGGTGACCTTGCTGTCCGAGCCAAGAGGGCAAAACACACATGCCCAGTGCAGGCAACTAGTCGCTGCATTTATAATGGCAGGGCCACATTTTCACCACGAAAACCCTAGTGCAGCACTGTGGTTGGTATGTAATAGGAATTTACCAAACATTTGTTGCCAGGCACGGCGTCACATGCCTGCAATCCCAGCACATGGGAGGCTGAGGCAGGAGGATTCCAAGTTCAAGGCCAACCTGAACTATATACCAAAACCCTGTCTTAAACCTAAAAAAAAGAAAACCAACAACAAAAAACACCAAAACAAACAAGCCAACATTTGCTGAAAGAGCAAGGAAATACTGTACACCCTAAAGAAAGAACAGAGAGCAAAGGAAGGAATAATTAACCTAAAGGGGCAGCTAGAGACTGTACTAACCAGCTGACCCCTCTTACCTGGCATACCAAGGAGGCCACCCGGCACAGACAGCTGGGGCGCCTGTGCAAAGTTGGAGAGCATGGAGCGGGCAGATGTGGGCAAGCCACGCTGGAGGCTGCTCTGAGGCTGGGGAGCCTGCAATTGGAGAAGACAAATGACACGACTTTGTCATGGTGGAGGGTTATTCGGGAGGCAGAGACACAGGAGTTCAGAAGAGAGGTGCGGTTCTCAAAGAAAAAAGGACAGAGAGAAATCAGGGCCAGGGGAGAGTTCCTGACCTGCCGAAGGGTGTGATGTCTCATGATGGTCTCTTGTTTACTGACGCTGGACACAGCTGGAGCCGCAGTAGGAGAAAGTGCTGCCTGTTGCTGTAATCGCTGTTCAATTTCCTGTTGGGAGTCATCACATCAGGCTGGGCAGGACAGCAACCAGTTTCTTAACCAGAAGAGGTCTATCTCTAACACTGCTAGTTAGCTGGAGGGAGCTGGCTCTTAGAACATAGCTGGAGGAAGCTGGGTGGTGACAAGGAGCTGGCTGATTGATGTAATTTAGGCTGATGAATTATGTTGAGGTTTCATTTATTTAGTTTTTTTGTAGTACTAGGAATGTAACCCAGGGAGCTCTGAGCTACATTCCCAGCACCTGAAGGAGGAGAGGGAGGACAGGGTCTCAATGTGTAGTTTAGGCTGGCCTTGAACTCACTATGTAGCCCAGGCTGGCCTTGAATCTGCAGCAATTCTCCTGCCTCAGCCTCCCACGTGCTGGGATTACAGGCAGTGGCACCACTGAGCTAAATACCTGGCCCTCCCCCATTTTTTTTTTTTTGGTACCAGGGATTGAACTCCAGACCTTGCGCTTGCGCAGAAGGCGCCAGAACCACTGAGCTAAATCCCCAGCCCCCCAATTTTTTTTTTGAGACAGAGTCTCACTATGCATTGAACTCACTATGTGGCCCAGTCCAGTCCTTTTTATTTTGAGACAGGGTGTTGCTAAGTTGCCAATGCTGGGCTCAGACTTTCAATCCTCCTGCCTCAGCCTCCTGAGTAACTGGATTATATATGTATGTCACTATACCTGGAGAGGTTCTATTTTTATTGTGCCTACTTTCTAGGTCTTTGAAACTACCCAAAAAGGACTCTGAAAAGTGGAGTGGGAAACTGGGATAGAGAAAAGGATCTAAATTTACCAAAAGATTTTCCCTCTTCAAGACATTCTTTGTAAGTAAGAGGGGAAATACTCATACACTGTAGCACAATCTACTTCACTAGGCTACTTTATAATCTACTCTTCCCTTTATCATTTTTCAAGTATGGACTACAGATAATTATTTCTCTCAAAGATTTCTACTACTAATACAAATTCCTCCCACCAAAATCCATTTGTTTGAGGAGAAAATAAAGTTGAGAATAGAGGAATATTTCAGTGGTATGGGAAAACTAAGTCTTTCTTTGGCTGGGGTGGGGGTTTGAGACAGAGTCTCGCTTTGTAGTGCAGGCTGGCCTTGAAGTTACTGTGTAGCCCAAGATGGCCTCAAATCCAAACTCACGGTGATCCTCCGGTCTCAGACTCCCAAGTGCTGGGATTACAGGCGTGCACCACCACAGCCAGAAAAAAACCAAGAATCTTAAGCCTCTGTCCCTTTTTTTAACCTCAGCCATATAAGCTATATATTTTGGTTTTTCTTTTTGTTTTGGGCTCTATAGTTCAGGCTGGCCTTGAACTTGTGGTGATCCCCAGGTTCCTGAATGCTAGGATTACAGGCACATGCCACATCACCAGGCACTACTGTTTTTATTCAATCAGAAACAGTCAAATGGAAATGGGAAAGACAGAATAATAAAGGAGGAGGAAAAATAACCTAGGCCTCCAGATGTAGAGGTCTGTGGAGATCACATGGCAGGTGAGTAACTCCTCTAATCTAAAAGCAACAACCCTTTGGTAAAACCAAACCCATACAGGTGGCTGGGGAGTAGGAGTTAGAACTCTTACCTGTTCCTGCTGTAGGGCTTTAACAAACGCGTTTTTCAGCCGGTTGGTGTGTTCAGCCTTCAGAGCCTTTTTCTGGTTGGAGGTCATGCACTGCTCGCACAGGATCTTACCATTTTTCTCCTGCTTCCAGTGGGGGGTGAAATCTGTGCGGCACTGGGCGCACACAAAGGGCTCGACCCGCAGGAGTGAGGCACAGCTTTTGCCTAGATGCCAACAGAAAGGATCATCAGTGACTTCAAATTTCCTCTCTCTTCTATTTCTCTTCATTACATAGTCTTTTCCTCTTTTTTTTTGGTACCAGGGATCGAACTCGGGACCTTGTGCTTTCGAAGTAGGTGACGGAACCACTGAGCTAAATCCCCTGCCCATTACATAGTCTTTTACAGGAATTTCTGCTGAATTATGAGACTTCCATAAAAACAAAACAAAAAACCCTGTAACTTAGAAAATATTTCTATTTTACTTGATTGTGACAACACCACTATCATTTACAAACAAGGAAACTCTAAAGCTAGAACAAAAATCCATGTTTTCCGATTTCCTACTACATCACAACCAAAAAACACTGGGTTGACTCACAGTCAAAGGACCCATCTAACCCAACCAGTAATTTTGCTCCTTAGCATCTGCTTACCTCACACCACTCCTTACTCCTTTTACATACAGCTTTCAGGTACCAGTCAGTCACTTTGTGATCTTTTACAGCTAATAGCGAATCCTGTAAGTACTTCCCTCTACTGTGAGGTGCTCCTATGGGACCCGTGTCAGTATATTCGGAAATGGAACCCTAATACCTTTGTTTAGACTGCATGGTATTGGTCAGTGCTGCTTTACAGCTATAAAATGTGTTCATTTTTAGCTATCTATAGATACCAGCATGCATATTTTCACAACTGTAAGCACTCAAAGGGCAGGAACTGAATATAGTAATTCAATACAGCTGGGCATGGTGGCGCACGCCTGTAGTCCCAGCACTTGGGAGGCTGAGGCAGGAGGACTGCCACAGGTTCGAGGCCAGCCTGGGCTACATATGAACTCTGGGCCAGCCTGAACTATATAGCTATGACACCCCCCCCCCCCAAAAAAAAAGCAAAATAAAAAAAGCCAAACCAAACCAAACCACAATCTAACCTTACCTTGGCTGTCAATGACACTTTGTACGACTTCTTCCAAGCCTACCATGTAGATGAACTCGCTGTTAGCTGCACTGGGCAGAAAGTGAAGCAAGGGAGCAGGAGGCTTTGGAGGCGGGATCTCCAGGAGCGTCTTTTCCAGCTGCTTGCGAAGAGCTAGTTTGGCTGCAGCCTGTGAGTTGGCGGCATCAGTCATGGCGCTGGGGCTAGGGAGTGGAGAGGACACTCTGTTCACGGTTCCTGGCTGGATATGCGAGGCTAAGTTCATGTAGATGGCAGAGGATGTTGTGCGCTGACAGGGGACGGAAGAGCTTGACTGCTACAACAGATTGAGAGCAGGCGTCAATCACGCTGACATGTGGGAAAGACCAACTCTGACCTAACCTGGATCACTTAGCTTCCACAGAACGGTGTATCCACCTTGCTCACCGAAAGAGAACTCGGGCACACAGGAAGAAGAATGGGCTGAGACTGCTAAGAGACAGAGAGAAACCCCAAGACGTTGGGGACACTTTCTGTCATACAGTCTTAGGATCCCACTTTTGGGAACGCCCTCTGTTCAAGCTCCATCCCAAGTTGGGCATGGTGATACAGGCTTGTAACCTCAGCACTTGGGAAGCTGAGGCAGGACAGCAAATTCCAGGCCAGTCTGGCTTACACAGCGGCACCCTTTCTCAAAAAACCCAACCAGAGGCTAAGGATTTAGCTCAGTGGTGCCGCTGCCTGCCTTGCAAGCGCAAGGTCCTGAGTTCGATCCCTGGTACAAAAAAACAAAACCAAAAAACCTAGGCAGGCATGGCAGTGCATGCCTATAATCCCAGCACTTGTGAGGCTGAGACAGGAGGATTGCTGTCAGTTTGAGGTGAGTTGAAGGACTACATAGCCAGACCCTGTCTCCAAAAAAACAAAAACCAAACCAAACCAAAACGACAACCCCCCCCAAAAACAACCCCCATAAACAACAACAAAACACCCAAATCAACCATAGTGTCCTAGTTTATATACAAAAACTCAAAAATTTTGGCTCTTTCAACAAGAAAAGTCAATAAAGGATTTCTGTTTTCACATTAGGGCCTCTCTTACTGGCTGGTAATTGATGGCAGGATTCATGTTGGGTGTTGTGGTCCGTACAAGGCCAGGCTTAGGCGGGCCCCGCTGACCCTGTAGCTGGGCTGGATTTGGTGCAATAACACGCTGAGACATCAACATGTGTGGGAGGGTGGTATTGGTTGCTGAACGAATGACACTGTGACCCTGAAAAGGAAAAGGAGGGAAAAACTAGTCCCAGGTGGTGTAATGCTACATAAAATACCAAAGAGACAAGCACAAGGACCCAAGTTTGATCCCTGGTACCAATAAATAAATAAATAAACAAACAAACAAACAAATAAAATAAAATAAAATAAAATATCAAAGGGAAAATACTGCCTATAACGAATGCACAGCTGAGCAGAACCCCCAGGACACAGTCAGAGCCATCTTGCCTGATGAGCTACAGGACAAATCCACCATCACTCTAAACGCTGAGTAGCAGCTGAAAGTCCCTGGCTTTTTTGGGATAAGCAAGTGGTGGGAACCTATGGCACGTGTGCTGCAGCTGCCTGTTACCATGAAAGCTCTACAAGGTTTGCCATCATTGTATAAGATAACCCTTCTCTAGAGAATTTAGACATCTTCTCTAGAGCAGAAAAACTATAGTGGAAAGATGAAGGTTACTAATTTTTCTACTGTAGACTCAATCATACCATGAAGGACCAGAAATAGCACCTTTGTCATGGTGAGGTCAGACAGGACAGACAGGGCCCTCCAACACGATAATCCCAAGATGGGTCACATACCTGTAATGTTCTCAAGTTTTGGGGTTCTACCCCTTGGGCCCCAGGCCGGGAGGGAAGCTTGGACAAGCCCTGCTGGCCCACATGGGCAGGAGACGGCTGAACAATAGATGCTGCATTCTGTACAACTGGAGTCTGGGAGAGAGAAGAGAAAATGAGATCGTGGAAAAAGCCAATAATCAAAAATGGACTTCAGTGCATTCCTAAACTTTTAAATTTCCTTGTCCATGTGAATTTCCTGTTGAGGAAGAAAAAAATGGAAAAATGGAATAATGGAATTGAGGTATTCTTGATTAAGGCCTAATATTTAAGGGGGAAAAAAAATTGGCCACGTGTGGTGTAACAAGCCTGTAAAAAAAACAATCACTACTCCTAGAAGCTAAAAAACTATGGAACCAGAGACAAATGGGTCATAAAGTTGAATATACCTGGGGCAGCCACCCTCTAACCAGTTTCCTTTCTTTTCCCCTAGTGTTTTATTTCTAGTGCACATTACCTTTTGGACCACGTTCTCTTTCTGTAGCTGACTCTGCCTCAGTTTCTTTAACAGCACCAGTCGGGCCTCTTCCAAACGCAGCTCGTCTCTCAGCTGCTTGATGAGCTGCTGTCGTTCTTCAATGCCCTTGCCCTAAGGAACCACGGAGACCATTAGGTATAGTGGCAGGTACCCAGAATCCCTTCTGGGAGAAATGATCTGGACTTTTTAGGTCTGAACCTTCAACATCCCTAAGAAAAAGTGACAAAGGGCCTGGTATTCAACAGGTACTCAGAAAGTGCTTGTCAAATGAAGACACCACATACAAATGCTACTCAGATTTCTGGAGACAAAGTAGGTATGGTACTCTGTGTGTGAGAGAGACTGTTTTTGCTGTGTAGTTCAGTCTGGTCTTGAACTCACTATGCAGCCCAGGGTGGCCTTGAACTCACAGTGATTCTCCTGCCTCAGCCTCCGCCACCATGCCTGGCTCATAGTTCCTTTTAAAAGGGCATGGATTTGAAATTGAGAATCACTAAAGACTTTTCATTGATAAGGTAATTCCACAAAAGTAAATACTCAAAAAAACAGTACTAGGACTGGTAAGAAATGAAAACAATAGGACCACGAAATCAAGATGTTTTACCTTGAACATCTCTAGGTTGGCTGCTTTGAGCCTTTCTTCCATTCGGGAGCTGGAACGGGGACTGGAAGCCTCATTGTCAGACAAAACAATGATGTCTGGGGAGGGAGTTAGCCTTCCTCGGTCTGGCTCACTAGACAAGAAAAGGGAAGATTACACTATCTCCAACACCAGGGCTCATAAAAAGTTAAGAGAACTTTCCCCATGCTGAACAAGAAAACCAAGGGAACTTAGGTCTGTTCTGATGCACCTAGAGAAAGACAGTCTTTTTTTTGGTACCAGGGATTGAACTCAGGACCTTGTGCTTGCGAGGGAGGCGGTGGCACCACTGAGGTAAATCCCTGGCCCCACCCACAAGTCTTATGATACAGAAGACACCAAGATCTAGTAGAGAACCTCACCAAGACACTTTCCTCGCCTGAAGTCCTTATAAAGGAAACAGGCACAAATATACAAAATAGTGATTAGCTTTAGGAATAAAGAGATGAGCATTCCTATGACAGAGATTTTTATATCTCCACTAGGCTGTCATCAGTTATGTGGAGGCTTGGGAAAGAAGTGACTAGCTCGACAAGGGAGAAGGGCAAGGGCAGTGAAGCTCAGTCAATCACTAAGGCAGACCAGGATAATGATAACAACACGGTCCTGGCTATCCTATTGGAGACCGTGACAACTGCAATGAGACTCTAGCCTGTCAAGAGCAGGTACTAAAGATAGGAGGCGAAAGAAAGTACTGACGTGGCTTGAAGCAATGGAGAGTGCCAGCTATAGCCTTCTGGAGAAGGCCTGAACTTCCAGAAGTAAATATACTTAAGTCATATCAACTTGCCAGAGTAGTGGGGATTGTTGTTTTGACCAGTACTAGGGACTGAATCCAGGGCTTTGCACTGAGCTATATTCTTAGGCCCTTTTTAAAATTCTGAGACAGGGTCTCATGAAGTTGCCCAGGCTGGGTTTGAACTTTCGATCTTGTCTTAGCATTCTGAGGAGCTGGGATTACAGGTATACACCACTATGCCTGGTAACTTGCCAGAATTTTATCCTGCATTTTTTCTCAAAACACACGGTTCAGAAATTCCTTTGACATTTGTCAGGGGTGGTAGGTGCACATTTGTAATCACAGCACTCAGGAGGCTACACAGTAAGTTCAAGGCCAGCCTGCACTATATAGTGAGGCCCTGTTAAAAAAAAATTACTTTGACATCTAAATCTCCCACTATAGCTCCTTTTATTCTCAAATTTATTTATTAGACAATTCTTGTTTTGGTATCTCTTGGGTTTTGTTTCTGTAATTTAAATGAATCCTGGAAACTGTTCCCAAATCAATGATTATTTCATATCCTCTAACTCCTCTGATTTGTTGTTGTTGCTATTTTTGAATCAGGGTCTCATCTTGTAGTTCAGGCTGGCCTGGAACTTGCAGTGATTCTTCTGCTTTTGCCTCCAAAGGGCTGGGGTCATAAGCATGAGTTCACTGATTTCAAAGATACTTTCCCAGATCCTATTTTTTGAGACTGTCAGAATAGCTAAGAGGATATGGGTCAATGTATAATTTAAAATTTTAATGTTCACAGATCATTATTCAGGAGAGCTTACCCACCATTTCTCAGGGATTCTCGATTCAGCTGCTTTTGGGTATTTAGAAGGTTTTGGGGTCATTTTTGGTGGTGCAGGAATGGAACCCAGGGTGTCATGCAGGCTAGGCAAGTACTCTACCAATGAGCTAAAGCCTCAATCCATGGAAATCTGTCCATTGAGGCATCCCTGATTCTTGGGACAGGTGTTTAATTTCCCAGCAACGTAAGCCTGAGTCATTAAAATCACCGAAGTTTAGCTGAGGAAACAATAAGGGGACAGAGAAAGGGGAGTGACACCCTGTGAATGGTGAAGTTTGTCAGCTTTGCTCTACAACCACTGGTCGTAGCTGGAGCAAACCAAGAATGTGCAGTTATACAAAAAGAAGCCACTAGAGGGAGAAGAGAGCCTTTCATCCTGTAACCCTAAATTCCCAGAATAAACAAAGTGCTTGAATTCATTTTTGTGTATATGATCTTATCTGTCATGTATTCCTTCACAATCTCACCCCTAAGATTAACATGGGTGAGCAATGTTAAGATATCGAAAACTTCCCATTCTCCTTGGCTCACCAGTGTTTGCAGCACCAGTCAGAGGACCCCATCCCTCTTCTGGGGGTGTACCAGGGATCGAACTCGGGTCCTTGTGCTTGCGAGGCAGGTGGTGGAACCACTGAGCTAAATCCCTGGCCCAATCTCTCCACACTGTTACCCAGGCTAGTCTCAAACTCCTGAGCTCAAGCAACCCTCTTGCCTCAGCTTCTGGAGCAGCTGGGACTATCGGCATCCACTAATGTACCCAGCTCAGAAGATTTAAAAAACTCTGTCCTGGGTGGAATGCCTGCATTACATAAGACTGTCTAAGGTAGTACAACTCCTCCTTGCTCAAATTCGTGCCATCTCCTACTTAGGAGCTGTTCAGTACCAAGAAGGGCAGAGACATTTGAGATGGAGACTTTGGAATTGTATGACATTATCAGGAAGTTTCATCCAAGAACAACTCTAAGGCAAAGGCCTAAGTCAAGCCCTGTTCCTCAATTTTCTTTTAAACTTTTGACCTGGAATAAGAAACATTCCAGAGACAGAAATTACTCTGCTCCTGTCCCAAAACATACATGATTTACAATATTTGGGGTTCAGAAGTATGAAACCTTCTCTATTAGAGATCATTAAAAGCCCAATTGGCTGTTGACATCGCTTGCAACTCAGTCTGGCATCCCCAGAAACTTTCATACTTGGAGTCTGTATCCCAGTAGTAAAACAACTGAACAGCTGTATTTCTCTAGCATTCCAAATTACTAGGACTGGTTTCATAAATATCTTATATCATAGGCATCATAACTTGCCCAACTTGATGGGAAAATAAGATATTTAGGCAACTATGACAATAGTTCTCATGTCAAAACTGTGTCTTCCTTCGGCTTCCAATGTTTTTCTTCCTTCTATCTCAAAGAACTATGGGTCTCCCTACTGGGAGCCTATTAATCTTGTTCATTCTTATAAAACAGCTCACTTTTGGGGCCAGGGATTTAGCTCAGCAGTTCCGGCGCCTGCCTCGCAAGCGCAAGGACCCGAGTTTGATCCCCGGTACCAAAAAAAAGACAACAACAAAAAAATCCCAGCTTGGTTTCAAGGGGTAATAGGTACAAGTACCCTGGAGTCCTGGCTTCTTCTAGAGGCTTGTGTTTCCAAAGTGCATCAACAGGAAATATAATTAAACACACTGACTGGGGTCCAAGACGGTCTGGCACTGCTGGGTACCTGGTGAGAGGGCTCAACCCTAGGGCCTTGCACAGGTTTAGTAAGCACTCTACACCGAGCCACCCTACCCCGGTCGTTTTAAACACAACACACCATAGTACAGCATAATTCCAACAGCACAGGTCTTACCAGTGTCTAACAAGGCATTTATGAAAGTACATGCACTTAGGGTCCAGCATCCCTTCTCTCCTTCCCAAATGAAGTGGGTTCTGTCACCGGCTCCAGAAGGTAAGCATGGCGATGGGCGAGTGGGCTGCTCAGGCGCTGATCTCAGTCACCCAATCCATTCTCTTCCAATGAAGCTAAGGAGTAATCTACTTATATGATATTCTGCTGATAACTACCTATAGCATCCAAGGAAATTTTATTTTCTTCCAGGACCACTACAGAATTTACTTGAAGTTTATGAAACTGTCTTTTTTTTTTGGTACTGGGGATCGAACTTGGGTCCTTGCGCTTGCGAGGCAGGTGGCGAAACCACTGAGCTAAATCCCCGGCCCTGGGTACCTTTTCTTAGTGTGTGTGTGACCACTCTAAGTACAATACCTGAAACTAATACACTTTAAAAAGGCCTGGGAAAATGCATGCACGCACATGTGTGTGTATGCATGCGTGTGCGGGAGACAGAATATATGAATGAGCATATGAAGGAATGTATACACATATGAAAGGGCTACGGGAAATGGCATGGACAAAGCAAGAACTTAGAGACTTACCACATCAAGATATTCTGAACAAAAAAAGTCAGGCTATTTCTCTTTGATGTAATTAAAAACTGAGATTCCATAATAAATAAATAGATCCTGGGCCAGGGATTTAGCTCAGTGGTTTCGTTGCCTGCTGCGCAAGCACAAGGACCCGAGTTCAATCCCTGGTACCAAAAGAAAAAAAATAAAGATCCTAAAAGTTCTAGAATGATTTGAAGGAAAGATTGTGATTCCTCTCTTAAGTGGGATAGCTCTAAGGCTAGGGTGAAGGCATGTATTAATTGGACTAGGATCCTCCAGTGCTCCTTTTCCAGCAATGAGCAATGATCTCAGGGTAGATACTAGGATTCTCAGTGTGCCAAGAAAATTCACAGTACACAGTTTCATTTGGAAAGGAGAGGAACTCACTGTCAAGTCAGACGATACAGACCTATCTTCTCCAAGAAGCTGTAGGCTGAAAAACACCCTGCTCCCACTGGGGTTAATTCCATTCTCACAGGCTTAGTCTATGAGAAGACACTAGCCTTGAGGCAGTCACCCTGAGCCATACCTCCGTCTAGCACTCATATCCACTGGCTCATCGTTGATGTTTTCTTTGCCTGGCCTTCCCCCAGTCCTGTTGTCTCCATGAGGCCTGAGATTCCCGTTGAGCTTCTCTTCATAACCCTTGACACCGCTGCCATCCTGTTTGGTTGGTAACTCATGTGGCACCTCAAGATTTGCCAAATCCTTTCTTTTGAGCAGTGCCAACATTTTCAGGCGTTCCATGGCCTCATGCCCCTCCATTTTGAGTCGCTTTGCCAGAACATCATCTCGCTCATCTGCTGGGTCCAAACTCCTTTTCAACAGATTCAGACGAAGAGCATCTTCTGTCATTCTATCCATCCTATGGGAAGAGTGATACAAATGAAATCAGAATGAAGTTCCTTAAAACATCCATAGGAGCACAAGTGCAGGGACCCAAGCTCGATCTCCGGTACCAAAAACAACAACAACAACAACAACAACAACAAACATCCATAGGAGGGCTGGGGATTTATCTCGGTTCCACCGTCTGCCTGGCAAGTGCAAGGACCCGAGTTCAATCCCCAGTACCAAAAAGAAAAAAAAAGGAGAATCACATGCCTGGGCTCATGATGGCACACACCTGTAATCCCAGTGCTTGGGAGGCTGAGGCAGGAAGATCACTGTCAGTTTGAGGCCAGCCAGGGGTAAACACAGTGGTACATTGGTTCAGGAATGCTTCTGTTTGCAAACAATTTGATTCACAAAATTTGAAAGTGTTTGACAAAATTTTACTTTTTTTTTTTTGGTACCGGCGATGGAACTCGGGTCCTTGCATTTGTGCAGCAGACGGCGAAACCAATGAGCTAAATCCCTGGCCCAAAATTTTATTTTTGTTTGCAAATTCTACAACAGATGATAAACACAACTGCGGCCATCGTTTCAGAATTGCAAAACGAATTAAGTCTGTGAACCAAGGTACCACTGTAGTGAGTTCAAGGTCAGCCTGAACTACATACTGAGGTCCTGTCTCAAAAAAATAAATAAAATCGCTTCTCAGCCTTTTGGCTAAGATCAAACGTAAAAAAATAAATAAAAATCATTTTACAACTCGTGCAAAGTTAACTTTGCTAACCTCCCAAACGATATTGCCTTAGAACATCTATATTAAAGGAGGCTGGGCCAAGGATTTAGCTCAGTGGTGCCACCACCTGCCTTGCAAGTGCAAGGTACCGAGTTCGATCCCTGGTACCAAAAAAATCCCAAAAGGTTTACCCAGTCAGCCTCAGGATCGAAAGCAAATGTCAACTACACTGAAGTGGGAGACCTCACTATGCAAGGGTAATCATCACACTCACCAGCAAGGCCCTCAAAACAAAGATCCAAGGTGACTGTACCTTCGAGGTCAAAGGCAGATGGTTCTGTTTCAGCGCTCATACCAAACCCTTCTCCTGTGTCTCGAAGTCCCTTAGGTCTCTCAAGCACATCATTAATTGGCTTATGAGTAGAGAAGTACAAGAAAGAAGAGCTTGCTAGCTGTCCTCAGTTTTGCAGACAGATTCAAAATCTTATGATATGTGGTTATTCTTCAAGAAGAGCTGCTGTTTATTCTGATATTTTCTCTACTCATGCAGCAAAATTATTAAAGGCAATCATTATTTTTCCTTTTCACTTTGTTTTTTACACTAATAAAATCTAAATGTAGATTTGGATTTTCTCTAACACCTTCAAATCTAGGGCTACTGTCTTGATAGAAAACAGTAATGATGAACTGGAAAGAAAACTGAGTAATGGTAACATAGGTTCCAAACTGTTACTTTTTTTTTTGGTTTTTTGAGACAGGGTCTCATCATGCAGTTCAGGCCGGTCTTGAACTCACTGTGTAGCCCAGGCTGACCTCAGACTTGCTGTGATCCTCCTGCCTCAGCCTCCCAAATGTTGGGATTACAGGCCTGCACCACCATGCCTGGCTAGGTCAAATATTTAATAAGTCATTTTCCCTCTTCAAGTCTTAATTTCACCTGTAAATATGAGGTGCTTAAATGGTGCTCAACAAAATTAAATTTCTGTGCACCAGGGCCACGAGATCAATAAGTATGAAACTGGATTCAGTAATTCAGACTCAAGTAATAGGATAGAAAATACTATCAATATCAATTGGCTCACTTGCAAAGAAAACTACGTATGTGCTTAAGGAATCATCAAAATAAGGGTTATTTATTATTTTCTGGTTATAACGGGAAGAAAAAGAGTACATAAAATAACTTCCAACAAAAGGGAAGATATCTTTTACAGACCAGAGCAAAAGTCAGAAGCCCAAACTCTTAATTTGTGGGTAATGTTTCTTAGTTCTTTTTTCAAACTCAGTTCTTTTTTTAAACTTAGCTCTTTTTTTTTAGCTCAGTGGCACCGTGCCTGCCTTAAAAGTGCAAGGTCCTGAGTTCGATCCCCAGTACCAAAAAAAAAGAATAGCTTTACTAAGATGTCATTCACTTACTATACAATTTACCTATTTACAATGTACAATTTGGGAGCTGGAGATGTGGCTCAGTGGTAAAGTGCTTGTGTACATACATGAGGCCTTGGGTTTGATCCCTAGTGAGCACACATGTGCATGCATCCACACATACAAGATTTAAAGTATCTGAGTCAGGGGGTTGGTGAAAGGGGAGGGAAGGAAGAAAGGAGTAATGTGGTTGGAAATCATCAAGACGTGTTATGTGCATGCAGCAATTTCCCCAAACAAACATCAATACTGTTTTACAAGCATGTACTAATTAAAAAATTCACTTTGTACATTAAAGTTTTGATAAATGCATAATAAAAAGTACATCATTTTGAAGCCAGGCGTGGTGGCACATGCCTGTAATTCCAGCACTCAGGAGGCTGAGACAGGAGGATCACCACAAGTTCGAGGCCAGACTGGGTTACATATTCAGTTCAAAACCAGCCTGAACCACACAGTGAGACCCTGTCTCAAAATAAACAAACAAACAAACAAATAAATGGTACATAATTTGAAGTTTTTAGTGTAATTTTCACTGTGCAACTATCACCACAGTTTTAGAACATTTCTATCACCCCCCCATCCCTACACACATTAGCAGTCGCTCTCCTTGGTCCTCATTCTCTGTTCTCCACTTCAGCCCAAGGAAACCACGAATCTACTTTGTCTCTACATTCACCTACTGTGGACTCCACAGAAATGGAACCCTACATGTGGTCCTTCCTGGGTGGCTTCTTTCACTCAGCACTCAGTTCTTAAGGTTCATTCATGTTGTTAGCACATACACAGCCCTCCCCAGGTCTGGAGCACTGAACCCAGGGCCTCAGACATGCTAACCAAGTGCTTCAGCACTGAGGGCCATTCCCAGACCTTCCTATCTCTTACTGCTGAAAATGGCCCACTGTATGAACATATGGTATCTTGTTTACCACGCATCAACTGAGGGACAACTGGGTTGTTTCCACTTTTTGTTATTATAAATAACACTGCTACAAACATTTGTGGGTAAGTTTTTGTGTGGAGAAAATGTTTCCAATCCTCTCAGGTATATACCTATGAGTAGAACTGCTGGGTGCTACAGTAACTCTATGTTTAATATTGAACTACCAGGTTGTTGTAAATGGCTACACCATTTTTACACTCTCATCAGCAGTGAATCAAGGTTCCAATTTCTTCATGTCCTCTTAGTTCTCCCTTAACAGCTTTAGGTATGAGATATACCACATTATTATTATTTTTTTGGTACTGGGGATCGAACTTAGGACCTTGTCCTTGCGAGGCAGGCGTCGGAACCACTGAGCTAAATCCCCAGCCCCTATACAACATATTAACATTCTTTATCTATAGATTTTTCAAAGATTTGTTATTTTGACATTTGTTACTTCCAAAGTTGATTACCTCTGAAAAAACAGCTGTAGATGCAGTGACAGGAAAGTTGAATGCTACTGAACACAAAAACTAACTCCATAGTAACAATGTCTTAGGTAACTCAATCAACACTACACACTGAGGGTATAACTAATAATAGCACAGGGAATTACAGAGCATCAGAAAAGTCTACCAATTAACTGATTACATAGATATAAAAATACTTTAAAAAGGCACTGTCCTCTTTTTTTCATTGCTGAGACAAAATATCCGACACCCCAAATTAAAGGAGGAAAGGTTTATTGTAGGTCACAGTGTGTAGAGCTTTCAGTCCATAGCCAGCTGGCTCCAAGGCAGGGTGGCATGGCAGAGGGGCATCACAGAGGAGAAACAGTCCATGGCAGGGCAGGCAGAAGGCAGCAGCACCAAGTGATGGCAGCAGCCCTCTTTCTGTCCTTTATATTCCATCCAGATTACCCACAATTTGGGTGGTGTCACCCACACCCAGGGTGGGCTTTCCCATTATCCACACCCAGAACTATGCTAAACCAATCAGTGGACTAATTTAGTAATCACACACCCTTAACCCCAGTATCACATACTTAATCCCAGAATCACACACCCTAGATCCACCCACTTCCCAAAAGCCCCACCTATGACCACATGAGGCTCTGGGGCGATGTCCAGACACAGCCATAATAGGCACACAGCAAGATATAAAAATGTAAATTAATGTACTACTGTTCTAAGTTTTGCCATAAATTATATTCATCAGTATAGAAAATAAAACAACAAAACAGTAATGGGGCTGGAATGAAGCTTGGGATGCTATCATTAACACTGGCTTCTTGAAGTGGGAATTAAACAAGCTGAAAACAGCTCACACAAACTGCTAAAAGCAGCTCAAATCTGAGGTAAACTTTTCCAGTAGATGGCTTGAGAACCCTGAACAATATGTCCACGTCTACTCTTGTCTTTTCTTGATCTCAGAGCTCAATTTATGTACTCTGCCATGTCAGGCTCAAAATACAAGGTAACGTGGATGAACTTTGAAATCATTATGACAAGAAAATAAATCAGACACAGGACATTAAACACTGAATGAATTCGCTTACTTATATGAGGTACCTAGAAACAAAAAAGTAGGACAAGGGCCGGGGATTTAGCTCAGTGGTTTCACTGCCTGCTGCACAAGTGCAAGGACCTGAGTTCAATCCCCGGAACCAAAAAAAAAAAGTAGGACAGAGGTTATCAGCTGTTGGGGTGGTAAGTGGAGAGTAAGGAGTCACTGTTTCATGGGAAAAAAATCTCTAAGAAGAAAATGTCTGGAATGGACAGTAGTGATAGCTGCACCACACTGTGAAGGTATTTAGAGCGCTGAATTGTACATATAAAGAGTTAAAATGGTGAATGATTTTTGCTAGGTATATTTACCACAATAAAATCTTTTTTTAAAAATTCAAGCCAAGGATGATGGCACACACTTGTAAGCCCAGCACTCGAGGGGG